TGATGAAGCACCCACAACTTCCGGAGGCAAATTGTTCCACTAATTGTTCTCACTGTCAGGAAATTTCTTCTTAGTTCTAAGTTGCTTCTCTCCTTGATTAGTTTCCACCCGTTGCTTCTTGTCCGGCTTTCAGGGGAGCTTGGAAGGCTGCTATCATGTCTCCCCTGGTCCTTCTTTTCATTAGACTAGACATACCCAGTTCCTGCAATCATTCTTCATATGTTTTAGCCTCCAGTCTCCTGTCAATAAACTGATTTATGGCACACGCAGGGGTGGGGGTGGGGGAAGTAGGGTCAAAGGTGACTGTAATCAACATATGCCAGAATCAGCTTCATGCAGGTCATGCCAGCGTGTGTTGCTCCTAATGAATTTATTTGAAGTTTTTTGATGTTTGGCTCAAGACTCATGATTTAATTAGGGCGATTGCTGGAATCCTGACACACTGATTGTTTCCTCAAAGGCCCGGAGCTAATTATGATGGACTAATAAATTCCTGCATTGGGCAGGTGGGGAAATTGGACTAGGTCAAGTTTTTCAACCATGGCAACTTGGTTTTGAGTTCTATTTTACCTAAAGAACTCCATCTTCAGCAGTACCAACAAAGAGCAACCAGTGTTGAAGGTAGAGAGGTCTCTGCCCCTCCGGCCTTGGTTGGCGGTCTTCATTTCTACCTCCTGGTGGACTGGGTCTTCCACCCAAGAATCCTATCACAGGATCCCTGACAACCCTGTGACCCAAACCTGTTGTGGTTAGCCAGCAGCAGGTTTGGACGGCTGAGGAGAGCAAGGACTCAGATGAGGGGCCAGGACCATCAGGGAGTGGACTGCTGCCTTCAGAGATTGTGGGGGCTGGCAGCAGTGATGAGGAGGTTCCTGAGGAGCCTGTGCCAAGTGCGCGTGTGCACAGGGTTGCTCATAGGAAAGAGCAGCTGTAGCAGCACGGGCGACTCAGGAGTAAGGCTGCAAGGTAGTGGCCCCTCCTTCAAGAAGATAAAAGCCAGCTGTGAAGAAAACATTCTTTGCAGGAAGCAAAGACGTTTTGAAACTCAGCCTCATGGACATTCCAGTATCCTGAGTTTTTTAATTGAAGACTCTTGTGTTCTGAAATATTTCTTATCGGTTATTCTTGGCAGACTAGCACAGTTTTGGCAAGGCTTGTGCTTATCAAAATTAATTAGTTTGGAGCAGCCTTTTAACCGGGGATTCATAAGAATCATTAGAAGGTTTCTGTTCCCTTTGGTTCATGTTTGTTTTATTGGACAAGAGTTTGGGTCGGAACAAAACCTGGCTAGATGGTAGATATAGAGTAGAGGTCCTATCTAGGAAACAACAGGATTGCCTCTGAATGATAACCCCTCACATCAGACAGGACTCCAAAACTGATTGGTCAGCTCAATGTCTCGGCAACTTGGAAAACAGTGGATTAGAAGAAGCAACGGGTGGAGGCTGGGAAGAGGGTGATCCAACCCTAGAAATAAGGAGGAATTTCATGATGGTGAGAACAATGAATCAATGGAACAGCTTCCTCCTGGAATTGTGGGTGCTCCACCACTTTTAAAATGAGATGGGACAAGCATCCGTCCAGGATGGCATGAGGTCTACTTGTCCTGAGGAAAGAGGTTGGACTAGAAGACCTTCAACATCCCTTTCAGCCTTATGATTCTGGGATTCTAGGATTCTATGGTCTTCTACAGTCCCGTGACTATGGTGTATGTATGTGTGCATGGCCATCGGAGCTCCACAACTGAATAATAAATACATTGGGGGGTAGTGCTGATCTATTCCAACTTCAATTGGGTGCTAAGCAACTGGTCATTGAGTGAGGACTACCTGTACAAGTTGTGAGAAGATGACAACTAGGCCCTAAAGTTGGTGTAGGCCTCTGCTTAATTGAAGGCCTCAAATTAACAATATATAATAACCCCAGCTGAGCTGATTTTGCAAGCATGGAGAAATATTTGCAATCTGCTGAGCTCAATTGGCAGGAACAGCAATATGTCTGAGTGGACAACCAGCTAAATAGGAGCCAACTGTGTGCAGCAGCAGCCAAAAAAGCCAATGCAATCCTAAATTGTATTAACAGAGGGATACAATCGAGATCAAGGGAAGTACTAATACCACTCTATAAAGCCTTAGTAAGGCCACACTATAAAAAAGATGTTGAGACTCTGAAAAAAGTGCAGAGAAGAGCAACCAGGATGATGAGGGGACTGGAGACTAAAATATATGAAGAACAATTGCAGGAACTGGGCCTGGCTAGTCTAGGGAAGAAGAGAAGGACCAGGGGAGACAGGAGAGCAGCCTTCCAATATTTGAGGGGCTGCCACAGGGAGGAGGAAGGGGGTCAAGCTATTTTCTAAAGCTCCTATAGGCCAGACAAGGAATAATGGATGGAAACTGAACAAGGAGAGATTCAACCTGGAAATAAGGAGAAACTTTCTGACAGGGAGGACAATCAACCAATCGAACAGAAATTGCCCTTGGAAGTTGTGGGAGCGCCATCACCTGAGACTTTCAAGAAGAGATTTGACTGCCATTTGTCAGAAATGGTGTAGGGTCTCCCGCTTGGGCGCGGGGTTGGACTAGATGACCTATAAGGTCTCTTCCAACACTGATTATCTGTTATCTGTTACCTGCTACTTCTGCAAAAAGCATACATTTGCTGGACAAATGTTAAAATAGAGCTATTTTGGATCATGAATGTCTGAGACATTGAGAAAAAGGGGAACTGAAAGTAGCAGGTGGTAAGTGAGTTGGCAAAGTGTTGGCATATACCTACAAGCAGGTATTAAGTGATTGCCAGTATGAGGGAATAAGGAAGTACATCCAATAAGATTACATACCACTGGGTGGGCTTCAGAAGAAGAAGAGTATAAAAGAAGGGAGTAAATCTCAGATCAGGTCCGCTGATAGTAGCTATTCCTCACTGGACTTGGCTACTATCTCTGGACCTCATCGCAATGGGTTGTTAGTAAGTACTATCCTACCGAAACGTTGTTACGTTATGACGACCTTTCATGTTCCAAATTGTTCATGAAATAAACCTTTGATCTCAAAGTTAGATTTACTGCTTGTGGTTTATCTGTGTATTTCTTTGACGGAAGTATTTTTATCATAAAATGTTCAATGAAAGGGTGGAATCTCATCAAAAGGAGATCCAGTCTGGAACTAAGGAGCAACTTCCTGATGGTGAGATTAATTAATCAATGGAACA